ATATATATATATATATATATGGGTTCGTGTGAGAGTGTGGGTATGGGGGTGAGAGTGAGAGTGAGAGGGGGGCGGGGAGGGGAGGGGATGGGGATAGTGGCAAATCTTGCGGTTTAGCGTGTAAAATGTGCAAAAAAAAAATCAATAAGGGCCATTATCGCGTGCACGCACATTTGTTTTATGCGACGCTTGTCTTCCTGTTGCAAGTTCGAACATCTGTTCGTATTCGCGCTCGCGCACTTTGCATAAGCGTGTGCGTGCACATTCCTAATTCCCTCGTCACCAAGTCCGAGCCTATAAGTATAAGTGGCGACATAATTTAATTCTAATCTCCTTGGGATCGTTGGGTTGGCTTTACGCTGCAAGTACGTCCGCACCCCCGTCAGGCAATTTCGGGACTCGCACGTATGACCAGCGACGTCAAATCAAAAGGTCGTGACACCTGCTCAACTTTTTATAGCTGCCGTCCTTAGTACCGTGAAGCTTGTTGGCGTTGAATATTTCCCTTAGACGTCAACGTTTATTATTTCCTACTTACGTTTTATTGGCTGTGGGTCCCGCCGCTTTCGCCGATCGTTTCGCTGCTTCTATTTATTTCTGCTTACAATTGACTGTTACATAAAGTAGTTCGTTTTATTTATAAATAATTGAATTAATAAAGACATATTTTTAATATAATATTAAAACTGAACAGAGTAAAACATATTATGTTAAAAAGAAAATTTATGATACACAGTATTATTAGAATATTATAATTTATGTCATTCAATAACATTTATTTTAGATATTATTTCAATTTCATAAATATATGCTTATATATATATAATGATGAGTACATTAATTTTAATTATTATTAAAAATATTTTATTCTTATCTTTAATCTTATTGAGTTCTTTATATAAAATAAATTTTACACATACATGTAATGAACTTTAGTATTATCCAACAAAGAATTTTATACAGTCAATTAAGAAATTCAGTGTAAATATATAATATAAAAATTAAGATATGTAATAATAGTAATTTTTAAAATGAATGAAATTTAATATAATTGCAATTCACGTCCGGAATTATAATCGTAGACTTTTTAATTAGGCGCCTCGATGAGACAAAAAATATAAAATTAATTTAATTGTTCATAATTATGGTAGATTATTATCTCAATCGCCAATGATATTCTTTTTTAGGAATATACAAAATTCTGGAGGAATAAGAAATCACAATATTATTTATTGCATTTTAATTAATACTTCTGAACGTTGTCTTAATGTCAATTTATTTAAATAATTGTTTAATACATTAAAACAATCAATTTTGTTGAATTGTAATGTTGTACGGTATTTTATATGAAATGCAGCATTTATAGAAAAAATAGATGTATAAAATGAAACTCTTTATGTAATGGAAATTAGTATTTAATGATTATTTAATAAATATACTTATTATGATTTTTAATGGATTAATTTTATGATAAAATTATCATGTGAAACTCATGTAATAATACATATTGGATGTCTTCAATTTTCGTTGATGATAATAACTATAAAAATATGGTAAATTGTTTATCTCATTATAATATATGAGAAATATAGTAAAAGTTTTATAATAAAGAATTAAAAACTTTTGGTTATATCTAACTTCCAGCATTAAATTTAATTGATATATAATTTGTAAATGAAAATGTAATAGATTAATACGTGAAATATATTCAATTCATTTATGTTAAAAATGATAATCCGTTTCTACGTTTTAGATATTTGACTAATTTATTTTTCATTTTAATCATTGATTAAACTATCTGAAATTCTAAAATATATTCTGTATAATTGTTGTTAAGCATAGGATCTGACTTCATAGGAGTAAAACTATTTGCATAATAACGTAGTAACCAATGACACTTTTTATCGATATATAAATTGGTGATGTGAAATTTATTATCTAAATATTCCTTTCGTTGAATTATATAATATAAAACACAGAAATTAAAAAACTTCATATTTTTCTTTTTGAATTTGAACGTACACTATTAAACTATATTAGGTCTAAATATTAACTCAATGTATTTAATATTAAATCTTCTTTTCATGTGCAGTTTTCTATTTGTAATAGTATTGACATAATAAAGCACGACTCTTGATTAAAGTTCATACCTTAGAGTATCTTAATTTTTTTCAAATTTGTCCTGAAATTTACTTATTATAGCCTACTTTAAATTGTTTAAATTAGTTATTCCTTATTTCCTTAACCCCATTGTAATTACTTATTATATTCACAAGCTTCATAAATTCAATATACTGACACACGTGTCTTGTTTATAAATAGAGTAATTTAATGAGAAGCCTAATTTATACAATTATCCTGTTTCGGTAGGTCGCTCGGTTGTATACATATTGACACTATTGTCTAAAAATATAATAGAAAAAATTTATGAAACGTTGACTTTAACGATTTTTATTTAATAAATTATTTAAATATGTTATTTAGTTGCAGTAATTGAATAAACAGTAAATTATTTGTTATTATTTACTCCTATCAAATGATGATTATATATATCAAATGATGACAAGTCATATAGTTCCGCAAAAAGAATAATAAAAAGAATTCTTTCGACTAAATAGTTAGCGATTGCAATCCAATGTTTTCTTGAAAATCAAACAAGATATTTAGTAACTTTTATTTTATTTTTTAGATTTAAGAATAATTGGTAGAAGAGTTACTTCTATAACGAAAGGTAATATATTATATTAATTTGATATGAAAATTACTAAATGAATAATAATTGTAGTTTAATAAACATCAATTTCGTTAGACATTTAACTTACGTTGCATATATATATATATATATATATATATATATATATATATTAATTAATCATAATATTACTTGGTGCACCTGACTCTTGGAAATTTATTTATTTAAATAGCTTTGGGATTTGGTTTTCGGATTAAAATGTTTTGCGGGCTTATTATTAGGTTGCGGTCGTCCTCGTGACGACGTGATCATTTCGGGCCGGAAAATTCGGATAATTTGGAGCATCGTTCGTGAATTTGTCATTTGTTAACATTAGCGTAGCTTTAAGGTTGGCACTTGGCTTTTTAAGGTTCTTTTTCCATATACAAATTGTCTAAAAGAAATTACCCAATAATGGCCGGGGAATGGCATTCGCTCGAAATAAGTTGGAGAAAGCCGACGCTCCCTCGAAGAATCCCGTCTTTCTCGCCGATCATGCGAACGACCTTTCCTTCTCTCTCGAGACTCTCTATACTCTTTTGTACTGCAATCAAGTTTCAAATCATTCGAGTTATATAAATTAATTAGAAAATCACATCAGACGATTTTTTACCAATGGACATTTGATTTAGATTTGTAATCTTCGGATGATGTGCGCCTCCTCGTTTCGCGGCTCATACTTTTTCGGGTATCGGAGTGGCGCCTTAAACAATAAAGTTATCTCCAAAATTCACATTTGACTTTGATTTCGTTTCAATGATTCAGCTTTTGAAGGTCAGCCAAAATTAATGATAATATTTACAAATAATATCCTGTTACAGACCTTGACTCAAGTGCGCCTGACCGTGAGCTTGTGCGCTTGCCGGGACTAGGACTGCGTCGTCTTCGAGAACTCGACGATTCGGAACGTCGCCTCCGAGGACTTAGAAAGTTAATTTATGATAGGGGAGTCTGTCATTTTTAAAATAAATCAATCTTATGATTAAAATGGAAAATTAATATTACTGAAATTAGCGGTTGCAAATTGTGTGATAAATTGTAAATTGTGATACAGTAATGTGAATAAAAAATGACCTACTGTCTTGAAGCATAACAGCAATTACTTTTTAAAATATTATTCATCCCTGTTACGTAGCTTTAAAAAGTTAGTTATTTTATAATTTTATTTAATATATGATCTATTTTCGTATTGCTGGTAGTAATGTTTTGATATAAATTACTGGAAGCTGCACTTATAAAATATTTATTGTACGTCTGAATTATAATATTTGCTTTTTGCGAGATAAGGTTCACCTATTAGTGTTTCTAAACATTGAATGAGAAATGGTAATGCTTACACGCGACCATATCATAATACATAATTAAAGTTTACACGTTTTAATTTAATTTAATAAACAGCACATTGTAATACCAAATATAATTACACTATTCTTATTTAATTATATTGTTTATATTTGAAGCATTATAGTATCTATACATATATTAAATCATGTTATTTGTATTTAAATGAATATAAAATTTGTATATCTGTAATTGTCTATGTTTATTTACTATTATTTATTTACTATTATGGAGGATATATAGTCAAATGTAATATATTTGTAAATTGATTTAACTAAAATAGTTATAATATAACAGTTATAATAATTTCTAATATATAAAATAGTTATTATTTTATAACATATATTTTATGAAATTTTATTTGTAATTTCATTTGTAATATTATGTAATTTATGAATAATTAATTATTGATTAACAATGTAATACTAAACCATAAATAATATCATACATTACAATGTATTATAATTTCTCTTTAATTAGTTTATAAAAATAATAAAAAATAATATTTTATATAATGCATAAGGTGGGTACATTAAATGTTTCTTTTACGTAAAAAATAAACAATATACATTAATAAAAATAATACTACCACATAATAATAACAAAAACTTTATTATAAACGTATCTAATTCTTTTTTACGGAATTCGCAATTGTGTGATTGAATTTTTTTTGTTTGGCTTAGTTTTATTTAAATAAATTATTATCTAAATTTTTTTAAAAATGTTCTTTTCCATTATGTTCTATTGAAAATCAATGAAATGTGTAGAATTCAGAAAAATTATTTCGAAGCGATACTAAAAATATTGACTATTTCTAGTGAGTCAGAGAGAGAGAGAGAGAGAGAGAGAGAGAAATGGGAAATCAAATTCATTGTGCTTATTTATGATTGACATTTGCGATTGAAATTTTAATCAAAGCTGTGGAGTCATATTTTTATCAAGATGCTATATTTTCTATAACATTATATTATGTAATACGAATGAAGTAACACGTATATTATGATGTTAGATATATTATTTAACAATTTAACCAAATTTCAAAATATATTCCAAAATTTAAATGGTAATAATCATTATCATACAGAGGCAATTCATTTTAGTACAGATAAAATAACTAATGTTTAATTAAAAATTCTAGGATATTATTCAAAGTATGATCTTTTTTTATTAACAATCTTAGAATTTAATAAATAATTTTAAAAAGAAGAACAAGATATTTTATTTATTGGATTGATATTTATTGTATATATTATTAGTTGTATATATATAAGATTTTTTAATTATTTTGTAAATAAAATTGTTTTTTGAAGAGTCTTAATTTATAAGTACATCAATTTGAAAGGGCACGTGAATATTTAATTTGGTAACTTTAGTTACTTTTAATTTTTAATATTCTTGTAAAATTTTATAAATCTTATTCTCTTTTACATATTTATGAAAAGAATATATACTTTTTATAATGTGTTTCCCATTTATCCAAAAATATTTCAAATCTCTATTTAATATTTTATTATTCAATTATTAATCTAATTGATAATGGTAATTAATGTATAAAATCATTTACAATATTAATTTATGGTGTTTAATAGTAAATTATCGAATAATATAATAGTAGAATTCAATAATTTGGTTTTTAATTAAACTCAGTTATTTGTTATTTTTTGTATGATCTCAAATAAAAATAACGTTCGATGTCTATGTTATTATCCGGATATTATAACAGAATAAAATCAACCTAATATTGAAATTTTTATTATAGTTTGATTTTAAAAGAAAACAAGGAAATTCAGGGAGGAAAGAGGGTACTGCAATAATGACATGGTGTACGTGACAACCTACTTTAAGTTTTTCATATGTGCGTATGGTGAGAAAGAGAGAGAGAGAGAGAGAGAGAGTGAGAGGGAGAGGGTGTGAAGTAGAGTGAAAGAGGGTGAGGGAGAGGGATAGAAAGAAGAAAAAAGAGAGGATAACCCTGTAAAACTTGTATGTACAGGGAATTTCAGACAAAAAGAAAGAAAAGAGAGAGAGGGGGAGAGGGAGAGGGAGAGGGAGAGAGAGAGAGAGAGAGAGAGAGAGAGAAATTGGGATCAAGAGAACCCGCGAAAAGGAGAGTATGAAAAAGATCGGCAGATGCACTCATAGTATTACGTCTTCCCTCTTTTTATGCTTAAGTACATTGTTATATATGCGTATCTATGCATGTGTCGGCATACATATACTTTAAGTCATATAGACGAACTCTAGAGTATGCGAATCGACAACGTCTGTCTATCCTTCTTGTGCGTACGCAAGAGCTCATATTCACTAGTTTCCTTCTTGATCTTTTATATGATTTGCCAGTTTCTATTGTAGGCATCGCACATCAATTGTAGACATTTGCAGTACAAATCACATTTTAGGGAACCTGATTTTAAGTCCATTGTATTGGCTGTCCTTCTCGTATTAAAAAACGGTTAACCTGAATTCTATCGCGAGGTACACCAATTTTGTTTTCGACTGCTATAGAATAATCTTTTTATTATAATGCTGCTTTGATTTGGCAAAATAATTACTTGCAAGAAGTTATAATATATAATAAATATATCTAATTAGTTGATTTATTAAGTTACGAAGTTATTTATATTACAGCATTGCGATTTAATTATTTAGTTTCTTATCATAAAATTGATGGATTTCATAAACTCATTAAAATTTAACGGTAATTAATTTTAGTCGAATATTTTACTTGAATAAGTAGTTGATTGTTTGCAAATATAAAACAATCTGTAAATGCGTCGTACTTCTTAAAAACATAAATTACTTACAATTTATAATTATCACTTTTATAGAATAATTTTGAGTTACAAGAAAAATGCCATTCATAGGATTATCACTTTTATTGTCATATTCATTGCAAAAGTAAACGTAATTAATGATATGTTTTGTGACGGTTCTTTTTTTTTGATTTTTTTTTTTTTTAAACATATAAGGACTTGTTGTGGCTTATAAGCTTGTATGAATAGAAAATATTTAAGTATATAATTTCATTTTTCAAGCAGTTCGATCGTATTTATGAAAACTTGTAAAACGACAAGATCGTTAAAGGTTCGGGTTCTAATTAAATGAAAAGTAAGATGCGACTACTTTATTCTCACTGTTTGAAGCAACTTTTTTGTTTTTTTTTTTTTTTTTTTTTTTTTTTTTGTCATAAAGAATATATTGAATTCCTTTTAACACCTCGATCCTGAACAATATGTCTCCACCTACTGACCCAATCCAATGACGAGAACGAAGATTCGAATTTAACATCGTACACTTAATATAATATAAATAAAAACTGAATGAGAAAGAGATAATCTAATGGCAGCGAAGGCTATTATAGTATTTTTGCGTTGAATGGAGTAAAAAGGTTCCATTCAAAGACATATACAAGATTGACAAGGAGAGGAAGAGAAACTTTGGGGACTGTAGAACGCAATGTATGATCGAGGGCTGTCGAGAGAAAGAATTTCTATCGTTATTTGGCGAACGAATAGAGAATATAAAAAGTAAAAAGTTAAGTGGTCAATGAATACCACAATTGTAAGTTGAGTTCATTCGCTACTCCTACTAGTATTACGCCTACTTACACCGGGAAGTTTAAATCCGTATAAATGATATATGCATATATAGGCATAATATAGGCACAATATACATATAATAGAACGTATAAAAGATACAATAATGTATAAAGGATAAGATATAAATCGTTTATTATTTTCCATTTAAAAATATCTTCCAAGGGCCTTTTAATACTTCTTTAATAGATTTACATCGGATAACCAGCATCTTCGATATAAATTTTAGCTCAATAAGACTCCGAGAAAGTGATAATCGTAAATTCCACAATTATTCACCACGTTCAAGATTGAAAATTATTATTGTTCTCTTTGCTAATAGAAAAAGTTAAATTTACATAAATTAATAAATCAAGTTTGGATATGAGATGTGAAACGAAAGGAAGGATTTATAAATTATTGCAAATATTCCGGCCACATTCAAAAATATGCTAAACGATTTATCAGTACATCAAGTCTGTAAAGCCATCGCCATTGGTTACTCGAGAATTTATGAGGGATCAGTGAGCGCGGAAATAGCACCCGTCGAGAGGGTGAAAGCCGACGAAAGAATGAAGCTAAGCCGATCTAGGGGCATTGATTTTCCAGGGTTCCTACAGTATATCAATAGCGGGACGAGATCATCAGTAGAGGTTTTCCGTATTTTCGCGGGTAGGGTGATGGATGATCAGCCATACGGAACGAATGTGGGGCGACAGGCTTTGGCTACGGTGGGCGCGTGCCATCGCTTCCTACTTATTTTTTTATTATAGTTTGGCTGCAACCAAAACTGCCGGCGCAATCCGTTTCGTTCGATCGATCGTACGCGTTTATACTATGATTATCCGAGTCAAATTTTATGGAGGGACGAGGGGGTGCGAGTCGCCAGTCGCCAGTGAAATGCCGGCTTCACGACCAACACTGACGGAAGCTCTGGACGTTTTTTCATTTAATCGGTCCTTCCGTTCGCACCTCACTTACTCTTGACGTACATTTTCGTCCATTCGAGCGGCAA